CTTACCAACACATACACTCCACGGCAGGAAAGCATCTCATTTCTAGTACCTCGATCTCAGAGATGATTCCCCTAAAAGATGCTTTTGTGTCCTTGTGACTGGACAAAGATGAACTTGCAATGGAGAAAAGGTCAACTCTTGCTGATTCATCTACCAGTTACATTTTTTAAAAAAAACGTCCTTTTATATAGATAGCTCCAAGAAAATATCTACTAGGCCAGTGTTTTTTATACTATGGTCCATGGATCATCCCTGTCAGCATCACACGTGAAACTAGTTTGAATTATTGGTTCCCAGGCTTCGTCTCAGGCCCAGTGACTCAGGATTTGTGGGGCTGGATCCCAGGAATCAGCATTTTAAAAAAGCACCCCAAGTTATTTCAAGGCATATTTATATTAAAGAACCACTATGTCAGGCTTTAATCTGAGATTAACTGAAGCTTGAAAAAATTCTGTAGAATAAGAACCAGATACTGAGAACTGATTTGTACTGTTATCTATGGCAGTGGCTTGTAAACATTTTGACCATGATCCTTACAAAGGAATACATTATACATCATGATGCAGTACACACGTGTGTACGCGCGTGCGCGCACACACACATACAAATATACTCTGAAATCAGTTTCACGAAACAGTACTTTTCCTTACTACCTGAGATTCATTCTGATATTCATAACCCACTAAATCTATGTCACAACCCTCTAATGAATCACAAACTGGGGTTTGCAGAACACTGATCTATAGCAATTGAAATGTAAAGCTCAATTGAGTAAGCGTAAACCTAGGAAGAGAGTGTAGAACACTGCATACTAGTCATTAAACAAGATTTTTAAAAGAGATTCTTAAAATATACGCATTTAGGTGGATTTACAACAGCTTAATCACAATACTCATCTCCAAAAGAAATAAATTTCATTTAGTATGATTACAAATCTTATTACATTCAACTAACAGTTATGGGTTTTAGGAGGGACCATATATCGGAGTGAAAATTTGATGCTATGTTAAGACTGAGTCCTGGAACTTAACAGATCCTGGCTTTCCCATGTGCCAGGGATGACAGCCTGAGTAACGACCCCTCTAAGCCTCGGTTTCCTCATCTATGAAGTGGGGCTAATCACACCATCTATCTCATAAGAGTGTTGTGAATATTAAATAAGATAACTCATATAAATAATAGTGGAATTATTGAAAAACAAGATGCCTTGGAACAAAAATGTTATCGCCTTAGAAGAATAAGATACTTAAATAAAGCCTCATTTATAAGCTTACATACAGATTACTATATACACAGATTTACTATATACCTGGCATTATCTTTGTTTTGATGAACAGATGTTTTCTATATAAGGCGCTGTGCTAAGTACTAGTTACAAAGAGGCATGAGATGGAGTACCTCTTATTAAACAGCTTATACTCTAGCTGCAAAATTGGACAACAGAAAGAAATAAAAATTACCAAATCATATGCCAATTGCCGACCATAAGAGGTACTGGAAGTGAGTGCAATTGGAGTGCAGAGAGAAAAGCGCAGGGGGTCAGGAAGGTTCCAGAGGTGGTAATGAAAAAGCACTGAGGTTTGAGCAAACAAGGAGGGTGGAGGGAGCCCCAAGAAGAGGAGAACAACAGGAGTGCAGACAAAAGGGCAAACTCTGTCCCCAGTTTGGCCAGTGAGCAGTAAGTCCTAAAGACAAGGTTAGGATTAAGAGCCAGTTTGGGGGCCAGGCTAAGGCAATGGGTGATATAGGAAGATTCATCTGGCAGGTAGAGTGTGGAGTAAACTGAGGCTGGCTGCGGAGCTCTGGGCATTCCTTGAAGAGGTGACATAATTAAAGCAACACCTTGGGAAGGGTGGGATGTGTCCCAAAGCATCGGTGACATCAACACTACAGATATTACCCATTAACAGAATGATATCAACACACAAAAAAATGAGGTTTGAATTGGTTTTGCCAAAGTTTACGTTACATTACTTTAAAGCATTGACTGACTCAGCCTCTAGCATGAAGTTCTCTGTATCGATAGACTGATCACTGGCTGTTTTCCAAAGTTTTAGGTAAACCATCCATATCACTCAAGTGATTTTACTTTTCTTGTTCAGATTCTATGCATTCTCTGCACACCAAGCCACATCTTTGGGTTGAAAATTCAGCTTGCCAGGTACCTTGATATGGAGAAGAATGCCTTGACTCTTGTCACTAGAAAGGGTCTAGACTGGCCTTCTACTTATCCACCAGACTGGTATAAATTTGGTTTATGGTTATGTATAAGCATCAACAAATGTATGCTCATTCTTGGATGTGCTGGAAATATGTCTGACCTAGTAGGATGGATATTGTCACTCCTGGCTGTACTTCAGAGTCACCTGGATAGCTGCTTAAAATCCCTCAGGGTACAGCAGCTAGTCAGAGAGCAGAAAGCAGCCCCCCAGGGAGACCACTACCTTCTCGTACAATGGTTCTCGATCCCAGCCTCATGTTAGAGTCATCTGAGAAACTTTAAAAACTCCATGTCCAGGAATGGACACTGGCAGAGATGTTAAAACCTACCCAACTGAGCAGAGGACATGAATTCTGATCGTCCATGCTCTTCACTCCTAAGCAGAGATGAGAAGGACATTACGATGCATTGGAGTTGGGGCATTTCTATTTCATTTACATTTAGGATATTCGATTATTTTATTCTATTTTGTCTCCATTAGATGGCCATAGCTTAAATTGCTTTAGAGCAAGGGTCAGCAACCTTTCTGTAAAGGGCCAGATGTTAAAGAGTTCAGGCTTTGTGAGTTATACAGTCTTTATGGTAACTATTCATCTCTGTAGTTGTAGCACCAAAAGCAGCCATAAGTAATATGTAAACAAATAAGTGTGCCCACATTGCAATAAAATTTTATTTATAAAAATAGGTGGCCAGTGGGCTGTAGTTTGCAGACCGCTGCTTTAGAATGTTTGAATAATTACAATTAGCATTCAGATCTGGGGCCCGTTAATACAAAACTAGTAACAAAGCGTGAAAATAAATACAGAAAATACACTCAATCTTGACTTTTATCCCTCAACTATCATCTAATTGTAATTTACCAGAAATTTAAAACAGGGCCCTGTTTATATCTCAATCTTATGGATCTATACATATGTACTATTTCCCCCACCTCCCTGGTGAGAGGGGCAGTACCATTCTCACTTCCTCACTGGTAGAAGATGCCACAGCAGTTACTTGTTTATTATGATAGGGAAAAAAAATCCATCTATGCTGCTTTATGAATATATATTTATTCCCCATGCAAATGAGTAACCAGGTATAAATATACAACCTGAGGTCTAAAGTTTTTGGTTAAATCATTTCTGTTCAACTGAATAGGTTTAATTGCAGATCCTGCCTTGGCCATCACTTCTGGTTTTGCTCTAATGTCTCCAAACAAATAATGAATGAAAGCCCAAAGGGCGAGACCATTTGCTATGTGGATGGGATCCAAGGATGGATGTCACTCAGTCTTGCAAGCTGTGGCTGAGATGGAGCTCACTGCATTCTACCTAATTCTCACTCTGGGACAAAGTCCCCAGTCTATGGTGATGAGAGTGATCACATCCAGTCATGCAGAAGCTGAAAGAGGCCACATTCCCCCACCACCACCTCGCTGCAGGGCAGTTTGTCTCCACTGTCAAAGCCATCACCCCTGCACAATGAAGACCAGACAGGGTGGTCTCCCTGGGAAGGAGGGCACAGACTTCCCCCTGCACATGGCCAGTGATCAGTCAATCCCCCAGTTCGCCCACAGTGTTAAGGAAAATAAAACCAGGCAGAAGTTGCAGCCGTCGATGTGTACTTCTGAGTTCAGTTACCATGACTCCTTATTGTAGCTCCCTGTCATACTCACTTGGAAGTGTTTTCAAGTATTCCTTTGACTTCATTCATTTCTTCTTTCCCAAAGTAAACAACGGTGAGATGAACTCTCCCATCCTGTTGGATGCACATCTCCCTGGAAAACACAACACACACATGTCTGGTTCCCTGTTTTCACATGAACACAAACAGCTTTTTTCTATAAAGTGCAAAAAGGGTCTTGAAGTAAAGTAAGTAACCAGCCAGGACAGCAGAGGTGGGGAGCCGAGGCATTTCTGGTTGGCCATCCTGACTGTCTGCATTTATATATGAATATATCTCACCAGGAAAACAAGGAAATTTAAACATGCAGATCTGGAAAATCAAAACTCGGATGCAAGGCACCACAGGTCCCACCTGCCACAGGCCTCGCTCCTTGGGGCCAGTGTCGTGGAATGTGGCCTCGGTTCTTATGAAATACGAAAGACGAGAATTCCATTTTGCAGATGAGAAAGCTACAATCCAGGAAGGGTAAGACTGGAATCCTTATCTATGCCTCCTCTCTCGGGTAGGCTGAGCACAAATAGTCCTACAGACTGAATGAAGGAAGGTAAAAATTCTTTTGTTTAGGACTCCAAAATACTCAGAAACATCCAGTGTGACAACTGTCAGAGGGAGTGACGAGGCAGAAGCACCGTGGTTGGGTTTCACCTTTCCCAAGCAGATGCAGTCGCCTCCACTGCATCCCCATTTCCCCTGTGACTCTGATTACCCCAGACACCTGGCACCTCATGCTCCAGGGTCCCGACAAAGCAACCCTCTGGCTTTGGACCATCTTTCCCTGCGTCCCGACCAGAGCTTATTGGCTGTTTGCCCACATCCTGTCCTCTCTACCATAACCCCTAATCAATCCAGTAAGGTCCTCTGCCAGGGTTTCTTCACATATGCATGTGTGTGCATGCGAACATATGTATATGTGCACGTAAACGTATGTGTATGTATATATGTAAATACGTACATGTGTAAATATGTGTCTGTGTACATACATGTATATACATATATGTGCAGTCTTCCACCAGTATCCATGGGGGATTGGTTCTAGGACCCCTGCAGATATCAAAATCCAGATGCTCAAGTCCCTTATATAATATAAAACGGAGTAGTATTTTGCATAGAACCTACGCACATCCTCCTGTCCACTTTAAATCATCTCTAGATTACTTTTAATGCCTAATAAGATGTAACTGTGGTGTAAATAGCACTGCATTGCTTAGGGGATAATGACGAGATCAAACGTCTGTACATGCTCAGCACAGATGCAACCACCCATTTCTTAGTATTTTTGATCTGTGGCTTGCTGAACGGAGGGTGTGGAACCCATGGATACAGGGGACTGAGTATGTAAGTGTACGTGCATGATTTTTTTTTCATTTTTTTTTTATTTCAGCATATTATGGGGGTACAGATGTTTAGGTTTATGTGCATGATTTTAACATGAGTTTTCTAGAAACAAGTTAATGGAAAGATTCTATTGGTAGGATGGTATTTTGTAATATTTTGCATTTTGTCTGTTTTGTTCTTCCAATTTTTTTTCTCTCTCCGTTGGCTACTTTCCTTAACCCCCGAACAACAATCCACATCATAGCTCTCTAGAAATCCCTGAGCTGTAATTGCAGAGGCCAGTTTATTCAATGCTTGTAACGATGGTATCAAAGAAGAGTGACTGTCTGCCTGAGGTTGATGGAAGAAATCCAAAGCAAGAGAAGGTGTGGTTCTTGCCCTCAAAACACTTCACTTGGAAAATAAAATGAGCTCAAGCAAAATCTGCAGACACCTCGTGGCACCAACAAAAAGAACATGGAATTCAGAAAGCACAGCAAACCCTGTGGGCTGCAGAGGTTGAGTCTTGAAGGAGGAACAGCGTTTAGAAACGGAGAGAGGAGAAAGAAGACACTCCCAGATGGAAGAAATAGGGAAGATGATCTCGACTGGGCACACAGGGCTCCCCCAGTCACAGGCTTGGTCCTGAGAATTCTGTTTCTCAGAATTCTGAGAAATTCAGGAAGGAGGATAGAGCTACCTCAGGACCCCAGAGTGACGGTGGAGGTCTTAGAAGCAGACAAGCTACTGGGAACAGAGGCCTAGGGTGTCACGACACACTTCAAAGCTGAGACCACAGTCCCTGCAGACTGAATCATCACCCACCAACAACAAAATTCTCTGCACATAAAAGATCCCTTTCACCAAATTGCCAAACAATGCCTTCACTTCCTTTGCCAGGGTAGAATAAAAGCACACACACAGGGCCAAGTGCCAGACAAACCATGCTTGAAAACTACGTGTGCAGTTGGAAAAAATCCATCCCAGAATCAGGAGAGGGTCACCCGCAGAGCCTGAATAAAAACCAGACTCATTTTTCTAATAACATCTTTGCTGTCTCCCTCTCTAGTATTTTTATATCCATTCAAAGTACTTCCTGATTTTAAGAAATAAGATAGAGACGCCTTGGGCCTTTATTCTTTGTAACCAGGTGAAGTTTCCCCAAAAAAAGGCAAAGCTGAATTTGTTCTGAGCCCCACCTCCAGGGTTCTATTCCATTTATTCATTTATTCTTTCATTCATTCAACAAACACTTGTTGACAACATACCATATACCGGATATTCTACCAAGAGATCTTAAAAAATAAGACCTGTCTGTCCTTGAGAAGTTCTCCATCTACTGCGCAAAACTAAAACTCTCCAGGATGTAATAAACAAATGCTCTAGGGAAGTGTGAGTCCAGTGCTAAGGAACACCATCGCAGTCTGAGTGATCTTTGTCCTTTTCAAAACAATTCTCACTCGACTCCACTCCCTGGGAAGATATGTGCAAGAAGGAGCATGCACATGTGTGACTATTTTCATGAGTATGATTTTGGTTTGGAGGTAAAAGGTTAAAAAGTAAAGTGCAAGGGACGAAAAGGTAGAAAATCTTGTTCCTGCATGTGAAGACTCCTGCCTTTCTTTGCACTGTTAACTATTTGTAGTTGGACACATGCTATGTGGATCCCAAGTTGACTTATGTGCCTCTGGTAGCATCTATCTATGAACAACTTGCCACTGTTGTACGTGAAACCTTTGCAACCAATCTCAGGAACTTCGACTTCCCAGGAGCTCTCATGGAGCTTGTCATTTTCCCACAGTTGCTGTACACAAAGCTCTCCAACCAACTCCCATGTGGTCATTCTTCTACCTCAACCTGGAAGCCTGGAAATTCTGTTTCTATTCCACAAAGACCTTATCTTTTTAGGATATTTTTTCTTCAAAGAAAAAAAAAAAAAAAGAAACAGTTCCTTCTCCCCCAAGATACTGTAACACAGAGTACAGAGACTAATTAAGATACATTTCCTGTCAGAAAACATGTATCACAGTCACTTAGATGCCTGTATTTCTATTTCCCAAGAAGCCAAGAGCCCTTTCACGGTCTTTGAGTTCTGTTATGAATTGGTATGACGTCCCTGTGGAGAGGTGTGTGTGAACACTGTTCACGTCCTTAGTATGGAGGTAAGGAGATGACTTCCAATGACCTGCCCAAGCTGGGGAGGCAGCCAGGTACACAATCCGGGTTTCTTAAGGGCTCACCTGGTATTCACCTGCCCTGGTATTCACCTGCCCAGGTCACCTGAGCCACAGGAGGGATGCACCTAGGAAATCTGACAGCCCTGCTCTTGTTGTGTAGCACTCACTACAAGCTGAGTAGCTTGTACGGCCACACAGAGGGGAGAAAAAGCCTCAACAAAACTCCAAATGCACATGGGCTGTGGGAAAGATCGTTCAATTTCAGTTCCCTCATGGGAACCAGTTGGGAATGACCTGCCCAATCTGGTGGACTGGTGGCAGGCTGACCCAAGGCCTGTTTGGAGGGGGAACTGGTCCACCTTAGCATTGTTGTCAGCCTTGACCTGCTAACTCTCAATTGTGGGAGGAGCTGTTTCATGCATTTTAGGATGTTTAGCAGCATCCCTGGCCTCCAGAACTGCATGCCAACAGCACCAACCCCAGTTACGACAACCAAAAAGTTCTCCAGACCTTGCCAAATGTCCTAGGGCAGGGGGAGGTCGGGGTGCGAAGCCACCCCAGTTCTGAACCATTGTCTTAAGAATCAGGCTCCGTAACAACACCTGATTTGTCAGAGGGGCAGTGTGGTTGTAAAAACACACACATGCCTGGAGCTCGGCCTGCTCTCCAGCCAGTTCCTGTGGGCTCATCTGAGTCCTTGGGAGAGACAGGGCTGCAAAAGACACTGAAAGGCTTTCTTTGCAGAAAAGAAAATTATGAAGGGTGTTGGGAGCTCAAGCCAGAGCTTTTGGGGGAATTAACATAGTGGTGTTGGCACAGTAAAGATGCCAGTGGTGGGTATGGTAGCAGCAGCCTCTGCTGCTATGAGCCAGGCACTTTGGCTGTTGTCAGAAGCGTGAGTTTACACTTCGTGTAGCTGATGTCTGTGCAGTCAGTGGAGGCTGAACTTGTGTCTGACCACACGTGAGACATCACGAAAGATACACAGAACACCTGAGAGGGGCAGAGAAGGTTGCAGATCTTGCCAGAGTAAGTGAGAGAGAGAGAGAGAGAGAGTATGTGTGTGTGCGCAGGAAACCTGTGCTTCTCTCACAGTTAGCAATACTTATCTGTATACTGTAGGCTGAGTGGCCTAGGGAAACATGGATTCGATAATAAACATTTACTGAGCACTTTTATGTGTAATGCATTATTTCCATTGGAGGAAGATTTACGAAGGATAACCACGTATGGTCCACGGAGGGGAACCAACCAACCAGGTTTGCCTGGGACTCTCCAGATTTTAGCACTGAATATCCCTTGTCCTAGGAAATCGCTCAGTCCCGGGCAAAGTAGGATGACTGGTGCCACCCTAGGTATTCACAGTTTATGGGAAGAATGGACAGTTGAAGAACTATATTATGATGCAGGATGGAGTAACCATGGTAACAGAGGTATAAGGAGCCAAGAGGATGCAGAGGAGAGTACAGTTAATTTCTAATGTGTGTGGGGGAAGGGGTGCTAAGGAGAAAGGAACATCCAAGCTGATCCCTAACAGGTGAAGAGCCACCCACAGTTGGAGAGAAGAGAAAGGGCTTCCACTGCTGAGAAAAGGCACATG